TTACAAATTAGAACGAAACTCAAAATAGAACACACTCGTTGAAATATTCAATTACAAACATACAAAACAATACAAAGAGAATTGAAAAATGTAATATTTTTAATATTCCGTTTATCATCTCTTAGAAGTGTAATGAAATATACATGACGTTAACCTCTCTTAACAAAAACTTACGTTACTTAACTTAAAAAAAATATGTAGTAATACTTGTATCTATTTCTTTGCTGTTTCATTTTTCGCAAAGTTTACATTTCCAGATTTACATAACTTTTCACATCCATTTCAACTCCTCTAGCAACACTTTTAAAAATGCAGAACATAATCTCTTCTAATTGGCTCGAGTTAATCAGCTTAAAAAATTATTGCAAATAATATTCACTATTTCTAATATATTTCTTAAAAACTTTATACAAGTTTTGTACTCGTTTAAAATAATTTTTAAATATATACATCCTTCCACTTCTACAAAATACAATACACCATCCTCCATGCTCGTCCCTGTCTAGACAACATATACACAGTGACACCTCCGCGAGACATAACCATCGAAATAGCCACGCTAAGATCATATATCTCGTCGAACATCGTTCAGAAACACCTGTCGATCACTGGATATCGACGAATGACGAGCGTGCACCGTTGTACATTATTCATGCCGAAAATAGCAACGGTATGAATCATTCCGCGAGAAACCACGAGAATTCCAATCCCACATACCGCGAATCTTCTTCATGCTGTCCAGCACAACGATGATATTTCCTGTGACGGTCTGTCCTGGATAATAAGTGCTCCAAGGATTGTCGTAAATTATCCGGAAATCCTTTAATCCCATGTTCGTTACCGCACGGTTACACCTTTCGTAGTGACTCGATTCACAGAGAGGAAAAACAACTTTTCCTCTATTTATTAATTATTCTAAAGGCGTTTCGAGGAGAATAAGCGAACGTTTAGCACGCGTGTTTCGATTCGTTCGTCCGTTCGTCGTTTTTCGTTCCACACACCGAGCACACACACCCCGGCTATATCGAACCGCTCGTAAAAGCCGGTCTGATCGTGCTTACGAGTCCACGCAACTACAAACCACTCGATATTTGTCTTCTGCGCAGATACCAGCTGACACAGCGGCCGTAGAACGGTCTTACAGGCCGTTTCAAACATGCATTAGTTATAGCGCCGCTAACCGTTTTCACCGGCAGAGATCTATAGAGAGAGCAAAAGAGAGAGAGAGAGATTGCGATTAAAGAGATTAAAATTTGAATATTAACTGCGGCAGTATTAAGTATTATTAACGTGTGTTGTTAGTTTTTATTGGAACGATCCAAATGACAAAATTTTGGAAAATATAGCGCGAGGAAAAATGTTGTAACTTTCACGTTTTTCAGCACGCTAGTAAGAGATATACTCTTAGGAATCTGTAACAATGAGTGAAGAAAAATTGTACAATATTTATCTTTTAATAGGTTCGTGTAAAGAAACATTTTATAATTTACGGAATTTTTAATACATTTGTAAATGAAATGAATTTAACATTTTGGAAATTGTTAGTATGTCGTAGTAGTATATAGGAAATTGTGGAAAATATTACATTGTAAATTTGAGCAATATTCGTAGAAAATTACCAATCAGTGATGTCGACAATTTTGCTAGATCTAAAGTGGATTACTGTAACAGAGTTATTGAATTCCAGATCTCGTAGAAATTGTAATAACACGATTGTGCAATTTCTATTATTGCCTGCAATCATATTTCAGAATTTCTAAATTTAATTATGCATCTCAAACAACAAGAATATTACTGCGCACAATCCATAATTTCCCTTGTTATTAAATATTATTATTAAAAATTTACGAAAATAAAAAGCAGCAGAAGTAATTGAAACAAAAACTACTAAAATTGCTAAAACCATGCAGACTATTTTTTCGAAAATCACGTTCTCTCCACTTTTGAAACATACCCGTACATTTTTACATTGCATCAATGATGACGTAAGAACACAACGACCATGCAAGAATGCATTATAACCACTGCTGTGCACGTAGCAGTTTAGAGAATTCCGAAAAACCACTCTGAAGATTGTGTCCGCAAATTTTGAAGACACCTGTGCGCGCAGGTTATATCGACGATGACGTAACGGCATTGCGTGGCCTCATTGGTTAAAGCATAGGTAAACATGCGCTCAGGTGAACCGTGTTTTCGCATATTGTGATGAATACCCGCGATGGTAACGCGCACGCGCAGTTCCGTGTCGCGTGACGTCACCGACGGATAACTGTGAAGATAGCGTTGATGCAATTGAGAAAGACGGCTGATAATAATTCTGAGATCGGACTTAACACTTATCCTCGAAAATAGAGTCAGATTCGGCTCGTTTGTCGAGTAAATCAAACGAATCAACAGTCCCCGCTGTTATCATTTATTTGTTCAATTCTCAGCTACTCAGGTTTAACCTCAGGTTTAACGATTAAAGTTCATTTGTACACTGCTACTCGATACAGCTTTTAATAACGCGTTACAGAATTTTTTTTCGCGCATTCCCCAACGAGAAATTCTTACAGTATAACGTCACATTGATTTTTACGGAATGTTTTTCATGAAATTTTTCTAATATAAATTTTAGACTATTTTACTTTATGATATTTTATAACGGTTCGAGCAATATAGATACTATATTATACATAACAATAAATTGTATAAAGAGATACTTGAAAAATACCTGTGCATTATAAAAACGAATTTTATTGTGAAAAATAGTTATACAGATAGAAAACAGGAGGCAATTACAAAAGATAATGATAGATTTGGGAACCAATTGTTTTTCTTAATTAAGTTTCAATCGGTAACAAAATTTTTATATAAAATTTAAATATTCTTCTTTTTATTTTAATGCAACATAAATTATTTTATTTCCCAGCAAAATTTGTACAACACACATTATTATGGTTATCTTGGAACTATCCTTCGGTACACGAAGTGACCAATTTTTTACGGGGATAAAATTTCAAGTTCAAATGTGAAATTTCTTATGAAACTCAAGTGCTCTTTTCTTTATTTAAGAAGGAAACTTTTCACATAAGCACTGAAATATTTCAATGGAATTATGCCCGTATCTTGCTCTCTTCAAAACAACCACCATTAACATTCGTAATATTTTCACTTACTTTTTCCACTCTTATTCTGTCAGATAAGATAAAACGTTCTCCGATACGGTGTTGTATTTTTTTCTGCTTATTAGGGTGTATAACAGTCTTTGCACAGAAATTTTACAA